TCAACGTGGTTCAAACTTATCTGACTAAAAGCAGCATAGTTCCTGGCCTCTACAGCCGTATTACACCGGCAGTTGGATACTCTAGAAGTAGCATAAAAACCAATTAATGATTCAGTTATATATATATTTGATGGATTGGACTCCATTTGTGTTCGGACTCTTTTTGCGCTCGCCCTTGGTTGTGATGCATTGCCTGGCGGTATAGTCGGTTTTGGGGCTAAGAAATCAGCTGCAGTCAGATCAAATATTGATTTCAGCAGGGCGGATCCAGATGAAGCTAAGGAAAAGTTACTGACGGATCTCGTGGAAGCGTCATCTCAATTCAAATCCCACAAGATATTCCCATGTTCCGGCAGGACTTCAGCGCGACCACTTTATCTGTCTGTCCAATAGTCTCAAGTATGAGCCGACACATTCTGGCTATTTGACAGGGGAAGCACCAGCCCAACTGGAAAACGTCCGTGTTGTGCGAAGTGGTGTCGCAATGTTACACAGCTTAAGTACTCTGCCAAGGTACACAAAGCCAAAAGTACTAGATGATGACACCAAGTTAATCAAATGGTGTGTCAAAAAATTCATAAGAAATGAAGTTCGTGTACACAAAGCCAAAAGTACTAGATGATGTCACGAAGCTAATCAAGTGGTGTGTCAAAAAATTCATGAGAAATGAAGTTCGTGAGCATCTTGGTCTTCAAAGAATCCCTCCCAAAGGGAAAGCTTGTCAAATCTTAATGCACTTTGGCAACCATCAGATGGAATGGACAAACAAATCTACAACTTGCAGGTTATTAGATGGATCAACTACAACAATTCGCATTGACGCTTTCTTTGCACCAGTTGGCACCCGTAGCAAAGGATTCCAAAGCCCAACAAAGACAGTCAGCAAAAGCGTGAGTTCCGATAGGCAACTTCTCCGCCATGTTGAGGAAACAAAAACACACAATCAATTGGGCTTTGCAATCCAACAGGGTCATGAAGTGGATGACGTTGTTGGCTAAAACAGCCAGTCTGGTCCTCAAAAATGTGACAAGCTGGTTCTGACCCAGCTACCGGTATATCCTATCTATTTGTCATGCCTGAAGACCATCAAGTACTTTGTTAGACCCAACAGTACTTCATTAGTTCTTACACGCGCACGTGAATTCCCAACACACTCCTTCGAGCGATGGATCGTACATGTGATTCATTCGATCGGACATTCTGTCTGTCCGTCTGTTGTTGGCCCTTATTCAATTGTTCGTTTACTCACTCCTACAGTATTATCCAGGGATTTGAACCCTTGACCTCAGCCTTGTCTCTTATCTCGAGACCTCCTATCTTTTGCAGTCTATCTACTGCAGCTAGGTACTGAAACTCAGTATATCACACCATGAGTATTCGGATCCCTCATCACTTTCTGCCCTACCATCGGGTACAAAAGTATACAATCCGTTTCGATGCACATATCTCATTCGTTGTTCCCCCTTCGTAACGATGAAGGAGTTTTCAATATCAGTGTCCATAACGTCACGGAATCCAAGCTTCACAAGCTCGGATAAACTATCAAGGTTACATTGCGCTTCAGTATCAAGCAAGCAAGTGTGTCCGTCGATAATACTTGATTCGACCTGCTGATGCAGATCACGTTGGCCAGTGTTCGTACCGTAGAACATGTAATCCAGGTCAGACACAGTGCCCGGTTTGGCGTAATCTTCGTTCATTCGTAGGCTAAACGTAGATCCAGAATCAAGATGCACACCAAGATCGATATCCCAGTGCTTACTTCCATTGGACTTGAAAGGTTTCTTGTTGTCTTTGGTCCATTGAGAACAGTGCTTCAATGAATCCATCTTCGAGGTCGACTTGTAGATCTGCATGTTCAAGCTTCCATCGCTGACCATGCTGTCATCGTCCTTGAAAGTACTGGCAGCTTCTAGTTGTGCTTGCCATTTCTTCATTAGCAACTCTCCTCTGTCTTCAGTGGAGACTGCTTTCTTCTTCAGAATCGGTCTTACACGTACTTGTGCAAGGTTCCATCCTGTAATTCTACCGTTAGATCGTCCATCAGCAACAGATCTGCCTCGTACCACATAAGAGCCGGGTACATCAGTAGTACCAGAAGTGCCATTTCCACTCCTGTCAACAGTTGGGAAAGCAATTGTGGTGTGATATGAACCAGCGCTTCTTGGTTGAAGCTGCTGGTCTAGACGTACATTGTGGATCAATAGATGTTCAGACACCGGAGCATCCCAAGTCCAGCATATCCATTCTGTTTTGAAGAAAGTTCGAGATGGGGTTGTTTATTTACGCTGTTTAACTGGCGACGATACATCGCACTTGTCTCTTTGGCACCTGGTTCGATATCCGCTCCAAGTTGCTCCAACACATATACACCCTTACGATTCACAAATCGCATCTGTCTGTCTCCATTGCAATGCACAACAAAGGCATTGTCAAAATCAGTATCCATGGTAATGCGGTATCCCGCAGCAATCATCTCGCGCATAGCAAGTACAT